TGCTGCCATCAACACCTTTGTTTCTAGATGTTGGAGCTTGGCCTGTTTTCCAGTGTAGTCCTGTTTCTCTGACTGTGAATCAATCTGACTGGATGATCTGGTGAACTGTAAAATGCCTTGATATGACGTGATGTGAATTGGTACTATAGAAATAAACTGAACTGAATTGGGAGCAGCTCTCTGTGCACTGAAAAAAATCCAAATCTAAGAAATTAAATTATTCTTAAAATAAGTGCATTTTTTCTTGAATTTAGGAGGTAGGTGAGACACGTTGCCAATAGAACAAAACAGTTTATATTTAAAATAAGAAAAAAACAATAACTGCAGTCTCTTCTTTCAAGTAAATAATATCTGATTATCTTATTTTAAGGCTAAACATACTCAGTCCATTGGCCGATCTTATTATTCACCCACTCAAGGGTAAAAACATTCATTTTAAGGATTTTGTATTCATTATAAGATTGTTTTTGCAGTGTGGCGGTAAGATACCGACTAACCTGCCCTTGTGTTTCTGCCAGAACTTATCAGCAGCAGTGAGGTCATACATCTTCTTGGTCTTCTTCTTTGGTCTGGCACCAGCGTGAGATGGATCGGCCCCCCCGCCCTCCTCCATCAACACCCTGTTCAAATGGAAGTCCTAAAGGACACAAGAAGAAGAAGCTGTAATGGTTAGTGAGTCCACCAGGGAAGCAGACTGCCTGGAGGTTCTGTTATGGCTCCGTTCAGCTGAAAACTTTGAATCAATCTGACTGGATGATCTGGTTGATGTGGATCTATAAAGGGACCTGAGATGACGTGTATTTTTACATCAACTAAACTCTGAATGGAAACCAAACCGGATCATCAGAAAATCAGAACAGAAAGGCTCAGGAATGTGGAACATTTAACTGGAGACAGGCTTCTCACCAGGACATCGTGGATCAGGGCCTGATAGGTCCAGGTGTGGTGAAGGGGCGTGGCCATGTCCATGTTACGGTCTGCCAAAACCAGGAGGGGTCTCTGGAAGCTGGAAGGAACCAGATCCATCATGAGCTGAGAATCAGAGAATCCTTCAGCTGCTCACATGCTTTGGTCAAACTTCGACCAGACTCATTTACCCTGAGCTAATGCTAGCACCACCCTGCTTCCATTTTGAATGATCAGTGAAACAATAAGCTCAGAGTATGTAAAGTATGCCCTCAAAGTTCCCAAGGCCCTGCTCTCACTTTCTCTCTGTTAGTGACCTTTTCTTTCCTTCCTTTTATCTGTTTCTTTGTGCTTCTAAGACTAAATGTTAAGGAATTAAACTTTAATTCCACTTGTGAGTAAAAACCTCCACGGTGAACCAACCTGAACTGTCCAACAGTCATACTGTCCCCAGTAAACAGACTGTTTCTGGCATCTCGCAGGTTCTCACGCAGCTTTTTATCCAGCTTCTACACACAAAACAGCATGTAGACAAAAAACCAGCTTTGGGTGAAGATTCTCAGTCATCCAGGTCAGAGTCATTCCAAAGAGTTAAAATCAATCCTCTGGACTTTGTTTCCAGGTTTGAAGACGTTTCTCTTCCATCCAGGAAGCTTTTTTTAATTCAAAATGTTCCAGGTTTTATCCAGCAGCCCAACAAAGCCTGGTTTTAGTTTAGAAAACATACAAATAGAAACGGATGAACGGGTCCCCCCCTTTGGAATGGGGGTGGTTTGGCTTCTGTTGTTCGCCTGCAATGCCCCATGCTGGAGTCTCTGAAAAACTCCAGAGGATTTTCTCCAAACTCTAAATCCCAGAACATTTCAAACCAAACAGACCCTGAAAGAGAGTCTAGTTCATCCTAAAGACCTAATCTGAGGTCAATGCAGGGAGGAATGCTCTGATCTTTATACTAGAGAAACCAAACAACCTCTCCACAGATGCATGGACCAACACAGAAGAGCGCCCCCCTCTGGACAAGACTCTGCGGACTTTGGAGGACCAGAATGATCACATTTTGGATAAAGAAGACAGGTGGTTTGAGAGGAAGGAAGCCATTTATGTGAAGAAAGAAAAACATACATTAACAGAGAGGGGCGGGGGGGCACTCAGATTCCAGCTTTCAGAAACCTTCAATGCAGCGATAGAGTTGATTCCTTCCCGCTATCATCGCAGCTCCAA